CTCTCTCTGTCTCTGTCTCTGTCTGTGTCTGTGTCTCTGTCTCTGTCTCTGTCTCTGTCTGTATCTCTGTCTCTCTGTATCTCTCTGTGTCTGTCTCTCTCTCTGTCTCTCTCTCTCTCTCTGTATTTGATACAGCATCTCGCTATGAGACAGCTTGAACTCCTAGTGATCTTCCTGTTTGAGTCTCCCCAGTGCTGGGATTACAGGCATGTGCCACCACACCAGGTCTCCTGTGGCTTGTCTTACTGTCTTCGCCTCTACGTCCAGCGCCACCTTGGCAGGAAACACAGATCTCATACTTGTTAGGGGTGAACAATGCTCCCCCTCAGAAATGAACCACAATGCACTTACCCATTTGCCAGTGGGCACTTGGATGGTATCCACATTTGCTCTATTGGAGGCCACGCCATCCCTCGGCTCTCAACGTCCATTCCAACGCCTGCCTGCCACTCTCTGGTACCAGCTCCTGGATGGGAATTCTGGATGTGAGGCTGAGTCAGTGGGTGGCACTGGCAGGGCTACAGAGATAGGCTGTTCTGTAGGCCCAGCTGGCCTGGAATTCCTATCTCTCCTGCCTCAGCCTGCTCAGTGCTGACCTTACCCGTGTGCATTGCCACATGCGCTGCTAGGTTTCTGTAGGGCAGCAGCTAGTGTGAGACAGAGCGCCTGCTTTTCTCTTTGTTTGCTGTGAATCACTACATCTCAGTGTTCTCATTTATAAACTAGGACACTAACACTTCCCATTGGCAAGCTCCACCAATAACCTCCAAATGACATTGCCCCAGATGTGGCCACAGCCCCACTAATGCTCTGTGTTCCCCTGTTCCGCAGCTGCCCGGGCCATGGAGGGGCTCCAGTGCTCCTGGCGGCACTGTCTCTCTGGGCTGCTTGTGCAGCTGCTCTTGGCCATCTGCTTCTTCTCATACCTGCGAGTGTCCTGGGACTGTCCCAAGGAATATCCTAGACCGGAGCCCAGCAGCTCAGATGCAATTGCAAGAGTCCTGCATGGATCCCCAGCGCTGGTGTCCACTCCACAACCCTCCACGCCCCAGAACCTGCTCATCCTGCTGTGGACGTGGCCTTTCAACAACCCCGTACCTCTGTCCCGCTGCTCGGACCTGCGGCCGGGCACAGCCGACTGCCAGATAACCGCCAACCGCAAAGTGTACCGCAGAGCAGATGCTGTCATCGTCCACCACTGGGAAGTTGGATTCAGCCCCAAGATACAACTGCCACCATCGCCACGGCCAACCAGCCAACGCTGGGTGTGGTTCACCATGGAGCCACCTGAGAACTGCCCAAAGATGAGGGCCCTGGATGGCTTGTTCAACCTCACCATGTCCTACCGCAGCGACTCGGACATCTTCACGCCCTATGGCTGGCTGGTGCCCAGGGGTGACCAGCCCATTGCCCCGCCACTCAACCTCTCAGCCAAGACAGGGCTGGTGGCCTGGGCCGTGTCCAACTGGAGGGAGGGCTCAGCCAGGGTGAGGTACTACAACCAGCTGCGGCTGCATCTCCCAGTGGACGTGTACGGCAAGGGCCACCGGCCACTGCCCCGCCAGGGCATGCAGCAGCACCTGGCCCAGTACAAGTTCTACCTGGCCTTCGAGAACTCACAGCACCCGGACTACATCACGGAAAAGCTGTGGAAGAACGCGCTGCAGGCACCCGCGGTGCCCGTGGTCCTGGGCCCCAGCCGCAGCAACTACGAGCGCTTCCTGCCTCCCGACGCCTTCATCCACGTGGACGACTTCCCGAGTCCCCAGGTCCTGGCACAGCACCTGCTGGCGCTGGACAAGGACGACGCCCGCTACCTGCGCTTCTTCCGCTGGCGGGAGACGCTGCGTGTGGTCAGTGGCAGCTGGGCTCTGGCTTTCTGCAAGGCCTGCTGGCGGCTGCAGGAAGGGCCCAGATACCAGACGGTGGCCAGCATTGCCACCTGGTTCACATGATGGGACCAGCCTGGCCTCACCCGGAGTCTCAGCTGTGGGGGATTGGTCTATGGGGATGCACATGGGAGGGGCCACCTGAGGGGGGAACCCTGCCAGGGTCCTTACTGCAGGGTCTTTATTCAACACTTAAGGGGTCATCCATTGTGGGGTCTAGCCTGTCTGGGGTCTCAGGAATCTTTTTTTTTTTTTTCAATGAGTTTAGTACAGGGTCTACAGTGTCGCACTACAAGGATCAGACTTGATGCTCCTGTTTTGAGCCTCCCAAGCACTGGAATTACAGGCATGCACCACCAGGCTCAATCTCCTCACTGTCTCAATGCGCCCTGGGTGTGGGCCGGCATGACAGGCCAGGGCTTCAACCCCCAGTGACTGTGTCTGCCCAAGCAGGTGCTTTAATCCACTGAGCTAACTGGCAGGCCCTGGATCTCAGAAATCTAACTTATCTAGGCTCTAATTTTCATGAGGCCAACCTACAAAAGCCTTACCTCCTGGGGACTGTACCTCTAAAGACCTGGTAGGGGACACAGCACCCCACTGGTTGCTACCTTCAGGAGTCTCCCTGCTTGGGAAATCAACTCTGGGAGCCGGGCTGCTGGGGACCTCACCCCATCAGTCCCACCAGTGAGGGTCTCCCAGCTCAGATATCCCTGCCATTGCTTCCTGCCTGTGCCTTGTGCAGTTGGGCCCCGTGGTCTTTCTTCTCCAGATGGGGGTGAGAGAAGGAAAAGGATCTGTCTCTTCCTGTTCTCGAATGGCAGCTCTTAGCACAGGTGGCTGCTGGCCATGAGCAAGGACACTCGGTCACATCCGGGGTATTTCTGACTCCTCCATCTGGAGGAAGAGGGAATGATATCACCTAGGGCGGTGTTGATTCCTGCTGTGGCCTCCTGAGAACCAGGCCGCACAGTGGCAGGCGAGGGGCAGAGTGGTGGCTGAAGTGTCATCTGCATGTGCAGCCGCTCCCCACCACTCCCATCCGCACCTGAGCTCTGCTTCCTGTCAGGCAGGAGGGCCTCCGATTCTCAGAGGAATGTGAAGCCCACTGTGCCCTGCACACCTGCGGGACTGTGGTCAAGTCCATCTTATGAGACTCTAACGGCCGAGGACTGGAGAGGGCGCTGAGGCTGTGATGCTAGCCCTGACAGTGGCTGTGAGTGCACATTTACATTCACAGGTTTGAGTGCAGAGGCCACACATCCACCGCTTGCAGACTCATGGGCAAGCCCTATTCATGAGTGGCTGATGACACGGAGCTGGACAGGTGCTTTATTAAATAGTACAATCAGTAGTACCGGACACTGTGTACTAGGTGGGTGCACTTGATGGTCATGAAACTGCTGACAACCAGTCGAGGATTCTTTTACGTGGAAATGAAGAAGTGGCCAAGCGGAGCAGGACTAGCTGTCCTGATGTCACCAGATGACATCAGATAATGCTGGATGGTGACAGTGACGCAGTTGGTTGCTGGTCAGTGCTGACTCTGGCCACTGCTGGCCTTCACTGCCTTGTACTGGACACAGTGGTCTAACTCTGCCGGGCACTAGTCTCTGCTGCTGGGCTTTGTTGCCTGCTGGGCTCGGGAACACTGCAGGCCTACCGGCCGCTCATGCTTATGGTTCTTACTCTGGAAGCCGGTGCTCTGGCCACGCCACAGTGTAAGAAGGCTGAGTAGGCTTGCAGGTCTTTTGGAGCTCACGCTCCCTGAGAAAGAGATCAAGGGCAGGTTCACAGGACCCCAAGGCAGGTCTGTCTGTGCTGCAGCACAGGGGTTAGTGCCCTGGGGGAGCCCTGCTAGACTGACCTCGGAAGCGTGTGCAGAGCGCTGCTTATATAGCAGCTGCAGGCCCGTGACTGGCCCAAGCCCAGGGCTGTGATTGGTGCAGGGCCCCAGGATGGTCGTGGAGATGTCCAGTGAGGGGCTGGGGGCGGAGCCAGGGAATCTTCTGGAAGGGCAGCTGTGGGGTTGGGGTTGCTCATCAGGAGCCCCTGCCCTTCCCTCCCTGGTCTCAGCCACCCCATGGCACCCCCTCCCTTCATAAAAGGCAGCCTCAGAAGGAGAAGCAGCAACACCAGCAACAGCAGCAGCAGCAGCAGCATTTAAAATAGCAGGAGCAGGGAAGGGGCGCCTGGCTGAGAGTGGAGCTGCACCATGTTGGAGTGGGTGGACAGCAGTGGCTGCTGGATAGCCAGGGAGACTTGGAGACAAACTGTCCTGGTCTAGAGTGGGGGACTGAGGGGGACAAAGGGAGGGTGAGGAGGTTCTGGCCAAGCCACACAACCTCCTCCAGCTATCACAGGAAAACAGCAGAGTCCAGAGCTTCAGCTCCATCTCAAACCACCCTGCCTTCTGCTCCACAGAAATAACACTGTCCTCCACAAAGCCAGCGGTTTGTACCAAGAGGGTTGGCCCTGCTGCTTCAGACACTGACAGGCCTTTCCACAGCATTCACAACGGGCTGCGCACTGTGCGGCGGCACAGAAGGCCTTGCGGGAGGCCTCGGACGCCTGCTGTGCAAATGCCCTGGCACCTGTGGGTTCCTGCAGGAACAGGAGGGTCCGTGGGAGCTGGCCCTGTGCACTGTCCACCCCGCCCACTTCCTGCCCGCATCTCCTTGGGTCTGGTGTGCAGCAGAATGTGCGTGCATGGACAGGAGAGGAAGGGATGGGGAGGAGGCGAAGGGGGCGGGGTGGGGCTGCTGCTCACCTGCTGTTCGCACTCCCACCCCAGGGAGCCCCTGGGGCCCCGTGGAACCCTCTCTGAGAACCAGTGGTTCTGCTCCATCTGCGCTCCTGTATGTCAGTCAGCTGGTGCCCAAAGCCCCACAGGCTGTCCTGTCCTCAGCCATGTGTGGCCCTGAACCTTGCACACCACTCCCTCCAGGGCACTTGTGATGCGTTAGGGGAGCTGGTCGTTGCCTTCTGGGTTAAAGGTCAGCTGGGCACATAATGGTCCACCCTGGTCACCTGATGCCAGGTGCAAAGGCCTGGATTGGGCAGGTGCGGTTGCAGATCCACTTCCTTGTTCCTTCTGTTCTCTCCATCAGTGTCCCAGGTAGCAGCTGTCTGGTCCTCACCCCAGGTAAGGGCTCTCGGGACCAATTGGGCCCCTTCGCCGCATGTGTGGGACGTGTGTGGCACTCTCGAGGTCAGGTCTTTCCCTGCTCCTCTCCCTGTCCTGCTGACTTCTCCTCTTCCTGCAGCCGGGCTGCACCCAAGAGCTGCAGGGTTCACAACGTGGAGGAAGGCCTAGATGCTGGGTGGATGGGGCGGGGGAGGGGACAGAAGCCCGGGTGGATTTGCCACATCAGCACACACCAGGCGATGCCCCACCCTCCCTGACAAGCTCTGCATGAGAAACCCACACCCTGGGGCCCCCGCATCCTGGGCCAACCCTTTCTTCCCAACTTCAGGTTCCCTCTGGTTCTGCTTGAGGGGAGGAAAGTGCTTGGGGCATAGTGTGTGAGTGTGAGTGTGTGTTTCTGAGTGTGTGTGAGCGTGCAACTCTGTGCATGTCTTGTTTTCTCTGTGGAATCCACCCGAGCGCCCTTTTAGCTAGGCTTGCTGGAGCATGCGTGTCTCCCTGCACTGTGGAGGCTGAGGCAAGAGGGTCCCCAGTGTGTAGCCTGCCCGGGAGATTCAGGAAGACCCTGATTCCAAAATGATCAGGCAAAAAAGGGCCTTTTTTTTTCTTTTTGTATTTTAGAGAAGGGTCTACAAGGTTTTCAGAGTGTCACTACTAGATCAGACTACAGTGATTCGCCTGTTTACAGCCTCCCAAGAGCTGGGATTACAGGCACGCACCACCGTGCCCAGTCTCAATTGCCCTCTCAGCATGCCCTGGGGGTGGGGCTGGCACGGCAGGCCCAGGATCAAACCCCCAGTCCCTATGCCTGCTTGCAGGCTCATTAATCCACTGAGATATTTGGCCAGCCCGTATTTTTCAATTTTCATTTTATATTATTTTATTTTGTTTTAGTCTTTTTGAGACAGGATCTCCCAACACAGCTCAGGATGACCTTGAACTCGCTTTGTAGCCCAGGCTTGTCTGGAACTCACGACTCTCCTGTCTCATTTTCCTGAGTGCTGGGATTACAGATGTGTGCCACCTGTCCTAGGCTGTCAAGTTCATTTTTAGGAGGGAACTTTGCTTGTAGCCTGAAAGCCCAGTACTGAGAAGCAGCCTGTAGCCCTGACCAACGTCCCTCCTGACACTGCTGGCTCTGCAGAACCTTGCCGCGAGCCAGGGATTTGGTAGTTTGCTTGCCTGCCTTCCTCCCTTTCCTTCCTTTCTTTTGTTCTCTCTCTCTCTCTCTCTCTCTCTCTCTCTCTCTCTCTCTCTCTCTCTCCTTCCTTCCTTCCTTTCTTCCTTCTTGTGCCGAGGTTAAATCCAACTACCCACCCAGCCATTTCATTAATCTTCTATCTAGGGACAGGACCTTCCTAAGACACTCAAACACATGGTTGCACTGGAACGTTTTTAGCAATGCTTAATACATTGCATATTGTTATCTTTAAATTAGTTACTGAGCATGCAAGAGAGTGGGCATTTAATTGTCCAAAGAACATAACCACAATTCCTTTCTGGTAAAACTAAGAAAATTAGTACTATAACTATCTTCACTATCCTGTATGTATATATGTGCATGTTGTGTCTGCTTTATTTCACTTAGGAGTGTGGTCTTGAGGTGCATCCATTTTTCTCTAGTTTATCCTTCTTTATGGCTTAGGAGGACTCATGGCATGAAAAGACCACACTTTTTTTCTCTACTCCTTGGTTGATGGGCATTTGGGTTGTTTCCAGCATCTAGCTATCCCGAGTCGTGCTGCTGTCCATATGGGTGCCATAGTAGGATGGTTTTAGTTCTAGGAAGATAGAAGTAGGGGAATAGCTGGGTCAAATGGGACCTCCAGCCCTAGTGTTTTGAGGAACCGCCACACCGATTTCCACCGTGGTTGCACCAGTGTACAATCCCACCAACCTTGGAGAAGGGCTCCCTATTCCCGCAGCCCCACCGGCATTTGCTATTGGCTGATTTCTCCATGACAGCCATTCTTTCCAAGTGAGATGGAATCTCAGTGTTGTGCCCACTTACAACTCTCCAATGACCACCTTGTGCCCCACCCCAGGACACCGAGGGTGGCTGCACTGCTCCTGTCTAGTCTGGTGACACAATTTAGGGAATGCCAAACTACTTTGTGGATGGCTTGAAAGTTAGACATTGTTAATGATATCCTCATTTTTTTGGGGGGGGAACTGGGGATTGAACTCAGTCCCTTGCACTTGCCAGGATTGAGCTTATTTGTGCATGGTTTGGCTCCATTCCTGACAGGGCACCCTGTCACCTGGTGACAAGGACCCAGAGAGAGACTGGGCCAGGCGTTGGCTCTGGCTCCACTTCCTTCTTTATTTGCTCCATCAGGTTCCAGAGAGCTGCTGTCCCTGTCTGTCTTTTGAGCAGCTTGTGGCCCCCCAGGTAAAGGCTCTCAGGACAGATTCAAACACTTCAAAGCATGGTGCATGGGAACCTCGAGATTGGGCCTCTGCCCGCTCTTCTCCACAATGCACTGCTGGCTTCTCCCCTTCCTGCTGCCAGGCTGTTCCCTAGGGCTCTGGGGTCTATGGTGGGAGATGGAGGGGTTGTGACTGGGCAGCAGCCTGGGTCACACCTGTGGTCTCCCTGGGTGCTGGGTGGACAGCGTGGGGAAGGGGATGGAGACCCTAGTGGATTTGCCACACCAGGATGCACCTCGTATTTATTTATTTTGAGTGTGAATGTGAGTGTATGTGTGTCTGAGTGTGCATGCGTGTGGTAGGCCTGAAGGAGCATGCATATCTTTCTGCACTATTGAGGCTGAGACGAGAGAGTCCCCAGTGTATGGCTTACCTGGGCAATGTGGGAGGATCCAAAGCCCAAAATAATCACAGACAGTGCCATTAAATCAAAGACAAAATAAAATACCTTGTATTTTAGGGAAGGGTCTACAGGATGTTTGGGGTTTCACTACTAGATCAGACTCCTAGTGATCTCCTGTTTACAGCCTCCCAAGTACTTCTGGGATTACAGGCATACACCACCATGCCCAGTCTCAATTGTTGTGTCAGTGTGCCCAGCGGGAAGCCCAGGGATCAAACCCCCAGCCCCTGTGCCTGCTTGCAGGCACTTAATCCGCTGAGCTATTTGGTCAGCCCTTAAAGTTGAGAAGGATTTTTCTTTTTCTTTTTTGGCTGGCTCAGGCTGCCTTAAGGGCAAGCCTTCAGGCAAAATAGTGTAATACTTTTAAGCACAAGAAAAAATCTATAATGATGGTTTGAACACTAGACAAGCCAAACGCTGATCTGCAGTAAATACTCACCAAGTACAAATTTATTTCTACTACTAGAATGGTACAGCAATAAAATAAATTTAACTTGTTACCTAGAGATTTATAAAACTTAATAGTTGTAGTAAGGAAAGTAGGGGAAGTGAAAAACCAGAGAGTGGAAGAAGCAAAATTTGAAAACTTAGTGAACGGGATATGAGAAAAGGAGAGAAAAGTGCGATGGGGGTTTGGAGGAATGAAATGACATTAATGGTGTAGAGAACAGTGTGAGGAAAGAAGAAAAGTAATAAACAAAGGGCAAAATACAGGAAATAAAAGAAAAAAGAACCAGCTGTAGTGGCGCGTGCCTGTAATCCCAACACTCAGGAAGCCGAGGTAGGATGATCCCTTTGAGATCAAGGCCAGCCTGGACTGCACAGTGAGAACCTATCTCAAAATCTCAGAAAGAGACAGAGACAGAGACAGAGAGAGAGAGAGAGAGAGAGAGAGAGA